CAGCGTGGGGGGGGGGCGGGGAACCGGCTCTAAAGCCGGAGCCCTCGAGGCAAGGGGGCGGGGCCGGGCAACCCCTTGGCCCGGCTGCAGGGGACCCGGGTGGGGCGAGCCGGTGCGGCAGCCGCTACAGTCGAGTCTGCTCGAGGACGTGCGGACGATTGGCGCTCCCGGGAGGTGGAGGGTCCAGCCGTTCCCCGGCGTCGGCGCTGTCGGCCCCGCTGTCCCCGCACAGCAGGCGGCGGCCTCCGCACCGCCCGCGTCCCTGCCCCGCCGGGCGGCCGCCGCAGAGCCTGCGCGGAGCGTGTGGGCGTCTGTCTCCGTGCGCACCCGCGCCCCCCCGCCGCGGCCCCGATAAGGACACCGCCCGGGGTTCGCGTGCGGCTTCAGGGACCTCCCACTAGGGGACCTGCCACTTGCGTCCCTCTTGCTGCCGCCAGACACTGAACGGGGCTCCCCGGGGATCCGGACGCGGCTGTGTGGCTGCCGCCGGCCGGGGGTTCGCGGCGCGCTCCGAGTCTTTTGTGCTGCGGGGCCGGTGGCGTTTTGGTGAGCGGCTGGGGGGCGGGGGGGACGCGGGCGCGGGGTTGAGGGCGGAAGGACGCGGTGGACCTCTCGTCGGTGCGGAGACCTAGGAAACTACTAGGTATCCAGACTTTTTAAAAGAAATCATGCCCCCGGTGTCCCCAGACCTAGTAGTTTTCAAACATCTCTTTGCACTGAAACTGCCCCTTGTGTTCGGCCGTCTGTGACCCCCTCTACTGACCCACGGTTGTCGTCCTGGAATGAGTAGCGAGCGCTTCCTTCTCTCTCTCTAGAGCATCCTTTGGCGCTCGTTTGCTTTTTTTCTTGGTTTGGGGACAGCGAGAGAAAGTGAAAATGCACATTCAAAAACAGGCGTTCTTTCTCTGCTCTCAGGGTGTTGCGCTCGGGGGAGTCTGTGAAATGTTTATGTTGTGCCGCGGATTAAACACGCTGACTGGAAACGGCGTTGGGTTCTTTCACTGTGGGCCAGAGTGCCACGGTGAAGAGGTGGGTGTTGCCCGCTCTGGTTCAACTGTGTGGTTGACGTTCTGCGTTTAATAATCAAGAACGGTTTTGAAAGATAGGTGGTGGGGGAGGAGACTTTTCCCAATGATTTAGTGGAGTGAGAGCAAAAATTCCATATTTTAGAGTTGCCTGGACTTTCCCCACCCTTTCTTCTCCCCCAGATAAAGTAGGCTGTGTGTTCTTCTGCCTTTTCTCTCGAAACCTGGCTTGCTCTGCCCCCGTTTGTCGTCAGAAGGGTGTGGGCCAGCCCTTCCTGCTCCCACCTCATCTGTGACACATGTCAGGAGTCAAGAGAAATGGTTTTCTGGCTGGTTTTCCTTGGCGTTTACTTTTGATTATTGTTGACCTAGGGAGTGAGTGACCAGCTGAGCAATAAGGCCCCACTAACCCTCTTTCAAGAAAGCTCTGAGCTCTGAACTGACTTTCAGGAACATATTATTCTCCTAAATATGCTGTGAAATGAAGCATACATACTCGTGCTTTTCTTCCTTCCCACCCACTCCCTTCAAGAGAATAGAGCTTCAGGGGTGTTTCTGACACTAAAAGCAAAGTAATGGCAGCTATTTAGGCAAGAGAGTTTAGGCGGGACCAGAGGGCTTCTTTGAAGACCCTTAAGAACATTCTCATTTTAAGACTTTTTACTTGCTTATCAGCTAAAGGCTAAGTACAAGATCACAGCATTCCCTGATTAAAAATTCACATAATTAAAAGATACTCAGCTGAGCCACGGCCTCCCCAGGAGGGTCCATCACTCAGACACACCTCCGGTGGATCATGATTAGCACTCAGGGGACTTGAAGAGAAGTTCTTATCCTCAGAGCCTTACCGTAACAGCTCTACATTTTTCTCAGGGCTGGGCATTTGTCAGCCTTAGCAGCCGTCCTTCCTGCTGCTGAGGTCCCCAACCTAGGTGAGATGGTAAATACAAGCCTGTCTCTCTCTGCCGTGGGAAGATTGATGGGACACTTGACATTTTCCAGACAGAGCCAAGGCTAATTCCAGTGTCCTTGCTGGTAATTGCCAGCTGTGAGAAACAGCCATTGTCTTTAGAGCTGTTGGATTATCTATGTTCTCCTAACATACTAGGACAGTATGTGTTTGCATCTTTGCTGTGGACAGTACCATAATAAAGCAAATGTTTTTTGTGTATCCTCTGTTTTAATATCTTGTGAGACTGTGGAAAGAGTTAGAATGTGTGTGCCTGCACTCTCTTTTTCCTGCCATCTCTTTGACTCTGAAAATCCTCACCAAGGGGGAAGCCCTATTGAAGCCAATAGTAAAAACATTAGCATCTTAGCTAATCATTGCTGGAGAACTTATTCATTAGAAACTGTTGGGGGCCTAGGATCCTTGTATGTTACCCTGGGGAAAAAAAATTAGCCAAACAACATACCAGAAACAGTGTTGTAAATTTTTCTTTCGTTCCTTTAACTTTTTAAGATAACATTCTTTCTCAAGATAGGGCAGTGGTTAGAATCATGCCAGTGCATAGCTAACACAGGTCACTTTTTACTTCGACAAGCTTTTATCTGGTGCTTCTTCTGTGCAACACACAATACTCAAAAAGACTTGCATCCTTCGGAGCTTTAGTGTTAGAAGATAATGCTGTTACACAAACTCTGAGTATGTAGTCTTTGTCATTCTTTATTAGTATTTCTACATTTGCTATGTGAGGTTTACTGGCACATCTGTGCATAGACTTACGCAGCACTGAATGAGTTATTGCTTTCTAGAATGGAGATTTTTTTGGTTATCACCATTCTTAACAGGGATAACCTATAAACAAGTCACCAAATCTGGAATTGGAGGTGAATTGGAGGATGAGCAAGTTTTCTATACATGACGTATTTTATGTACAGAAGTATTTTAAAATATGTCAGGGTAAACTGCCAAGATTACCTGTACAGTCTTGAAAAAAGAAGAGTTCAAATATAACTATAAACTGTAATTGACAATGACTCATTGGCTTTCGGGGTGCCAATGGTGAAAACAGCCTAGTTATGCCCCTAATGATAATTATGAAAACTCCCTTTAAAAGCCAGTTGCATCTCAAGTGAGCTGTAAGTTGGCTTGGATAAATATTTTCAGTTTTACTTTCTAAAAAATTATCCCATGGTGATGGCTACACACCGCTGTGAATGTACTTACTGCCACTGATGTACACTTAAAAATGGTAAAAAATAAATTATCCAATTAATACTTGGAAATGCTATTTTCTACCCGTATATAATTTTCAGAACTTGAATATTCAAATGTTTCATAAAAACATTTGTTTTTGTAATGTGGAGATAATTTAATATACAGTCACTGAGTATTGAAAAAGGACAAATCTCACAAACCTAGTAACTTAGAAAGCAGGGATCGGTAATATTAAAGGATGTTTCTAGTAGCCAGGGGCAACTTAGGATTTTGTCTATAAACTCAATACATATTTTAAAGCAAATGTAATGCCTGTGAAAATAAAGAGATATCATATGTACATATGACACCAGTTGTTGTTAATAATAGCTAACTATGGACCAGGCATCTTGGTAAGGAGCGTACATGTATTAGCTCATTTATTCTTACACAAACCAATGAAAGGGCATATCCTTATATCATAGATGAGGATGCTGAAGCCTAGGTTAAATAACCCCCCTCACCTCAGCTTAATCTAAGAAGTAGCAGAACTGGGATCCGGGGAAAAGCACTCTATTTCTGGAGTCTCCGCTCTTAATCCTAAGGCAGTCCTGCTTTGTTTATATGATTCTGTGTAAAACATTTCATAATATTTGAATTCATGATATCAGTTTACTCCTGCGTCATCCGGTATTGTTTGACCCGTGTGTGTTTGTAAGTGTGAACTTTGACAGTGATACTGTAAACGGATAATTACACTCAGAAGTCCATTCTGAAAATCCCTTCCATGTTGCCCTTTATGACCTGGAGGAAACAGTCCCCTTTTCACACATCCACATAATCGGGGTGCTCACTCTGTACCCCCATGGGGTCCCTTCTTCCACATCCCCACTTGCCTGTCCTCATAGCTGAAGAAATGTGGTTGTTTGACCCCTGTTTTCACATCAGGTGTGTAACAACCCAACACCAAAAACAAACATTTAAAGGTCAATAAAAATACAAGTTACTAGAATAAGTCAGTGACAGTAGATAATGGTTAGCTATGTGGCAGGTGTGATACGGGCAGCATATCCTTATGTGTGTGTGTCTTCTTGCTGATTGTGTCACGGAAGAAGCAGAAGATGCAGGTGAAAAGTTCTGATGGTTTCCAAAGAGTGGCTTTACTAGAATCCAAAGTGATAGGGTCGGAAGTGACAATAGAGGTCATGTAAAGTATCCCAGTGTCCTAACTTTACAAATGAGAAAACTGAAGTCTAGTGAGGTGAAGTGACTTGTCTAAAACTGTAAGCAGTAAAGCTTGATTTAGAGCTGGAACCTTTCATCTTCAAGTTTAGTGTTCTTTTCTCCCTTTCTGGGAAAGCTGTGTCACCAAGTGGAACAGGAACATGGTGGCCCTGACTCCAGGGGAATGAGTTTGGCCGTTATTTTATCATCTCCAAATGCCCTGCCTATTACGTGCAAGGTGGAAGATGCCCTTTGTCCCACTGATTGGTAGGGGACGTGTCCACACTCGAGTAAGGCAGGGTCACTAACACCTAACGCGTCAGCCATGTGGGTAATTTCCCTAGAGGTTGGGTATCCATTGTCCAAAGAAAATGCCCCAGTTAGTGAACAAGCAGTTTATTCATAAAGTGAGCAATACTTGCTGAGCCTATAGCAAGTTCTCAATAAATACGTGTTTTATTGATTAATGGAAAGTTTCCAAGTTGGATTTATTGCTACTGCTTTGGGAGCGTTTCCAGGTAGTAAAATTTGGTTCGCATTTAGAAAAGTATTAGTCCCTTTTAATGCTCTTGTGGATGTGTTGCCCCTCATTGATTTTAATGTCCAACTAATCTAGGAGGACTGACCCTAGCCTCTGAAGAGGATAGCTAGTATTAAAATGTTTTCCTGTACTGATTTTAAAGTTGTTTCATCTTTGTAGGTTTGGAAGATGACACACAACAGAATTGCCTTTTCCTCTGGCGGCAGACTAGCGGGTGTATGATGCAAGTTTGATGTTTGTGTCTGCTTTCTCAAGGTCAAGAAATTATCTCCTTAGAAGGCAACAGTACTATGCATGTTATGAATTGTGTCTCCTTGGTCGGTGATAAAGAAAATGGGAATATCGCCACGGCAGCTGGATTCATGATCGGGCAAACACCACCGCCGCCTCCTCCTCCTCCACCGCCTCCACCTCCACCATGTCCATCTTCAGGGGAAGGGTTTCCTCCCTCTCCTCCTCCTCCCCCACCACCTCCACTACCTGGAGGGCCTCCGGCCCCGCCTCCCCCTCCAGGCCTACCCCCAACTTCTCACATGAATGGCTATAGCCACCTTGGTAAGAAAAAGCGGATGAGAAGCTTTTTTTGGAAAACCATTCCAGAGGAGCAAGTTCGTGGCAAAACCAACATCTGGACTTTGGCAGCCAGGCAGAAGCATCACTACCAAATTGATACAAAGACCATCGAAGAGCTCTTTGGGCAGCAAGAAGATACCGCCAAGTCTTCCCCTTCTAGGAGAGGAGGAACTTTAAATTCATCCTTCAGGGATGCTAGAGAAGAGGTAAGAATGGAGCATGGAGGGATAATCCTCCACATACTGCATTGTTTTGTGTTTGAGGGGGCGGAGTGTGCATATGTTTCAAAAGTTGCTAGAATCACTAAGAAATAAGATGATGCAAGCGAATGTGCTCTGGAAATGATAGAAAGGGCCTTATATGATGAGCTGGAGCTGAGTAGCAAAAAAGTGGGAGAAGCGTGCATGCCGTATCCTCCCAGACATCCCGGTGGATTATGACCTCATGCAGAGAACATGCTATCTGGGGCCACCACTCTTTGGCCTCTCAGCACTGCCCTGTCTCTAGCACATCTGCTGCCATTTCCCCTGGTGGAGTAGTTCTGCTGAAGTTCAGTATTATTAGTCTCCGTTGAAACAAAAAACCGAGTTCCTGAACCCAGTTATCTGAGATTAACTGGAGCTTTCTGGGACAAAATACCTGTGTTAAGTAACGTCATTAACTAATATACATCCTTCGGATTTTTATCCTTAGTTTTTCCTCCAGTTTTCCTTCCACAAGTGTTTTGAGATGACCTTCATTCCTCAGATCTCTGAATTAAATTATGGCCATGGTGGAACAGAGACTTCCAGAGAGCCAAAGCATAAAGCTATTTTCAGATACACTTTCCAGGAAGCATATTTCCAGTTAACACTAAATGTGTTACTTTGGGAAAAAATAAAGCTGGCAAGTTATAAGAAGTTAACTGAAAGCATGGCCTCAGAGCTACAGGTCACCATATGTTGTGGAAACTGAGTCCAAAGTTGCATTTGTAAGTACTCTTTGTCTGGAAACATGAAAATAAAGTAAGAAACCTCTGCTTGTTAGAAGAAATCATTAGGAAGCCAGGAATTCAAAGGAAAGAATGCTTCCCACTAAAAAAAAAAAAAAAAAAGGCACCAGAAGTGCATCATTTTTAATCTGTTGTAAAAGGAACAGAGAAAATAGGTCAGAGATGGAGTTGACTAGATAAGAGAGTGAGCAGCGCTCTGGAATGAAGCAGCAGCTCTCTGCATTATTGAATTGTTGAGCTGACAATATTGGCCTTTTTTCTCTGTCTGGCCCAGGAACACGTTAACTTCTTCTCTCCAGAAATTCACTTAGGGGCTTTGAAGCTTCTGGTATAGTCCACTGTTGAAAGAATAGTGAAGAGTCTATTTATTATAAAATGTGAAGAAGGCTAGGGTTAGAATTAAGTGTAAACCGTGGAATAAGTTTGAGAGGAAGTCTTCAGGACAACCCTTAGTGCCCTCCCATGCTGAACATGGGCTTTTCCCTGCTTTTTCCTTTATGCAAAGTCCTTTTATTTCTCAGCAGATCCTTTCAGTATTGGAAGGAGCCAGAAGTCATTTCCTTAGTACCCTGGCCTTTGCCCCAGCTTCTAGCAGAGGTTCCTTATTGTACAGTAGGTCACTTCTCACCATTGTTTCCTAGCTCTATTTACTGAATTTCAAGAATTTTGAAGGAAAAAGTGGATGGACGCACGTGGGAACGGAGCGTATGTCTCAGGAAAGCACCTGTGACAAACAGCAGGGGGTCTGGCTCCCCGTGCTCCTGGGGAGGCAACTGGCCAGGTTAGAATGGGCAGCATCCTTTGTAGATTGTGGACATTTATTTTTCCAAATGATAGTTGAAGTGGCTACGAGGAGCTTGCTCTATGTTTGTGAATTCAGGAGAGGTTAAGAACCACTCTGAGATGGGGGGAAGTGGCAGGGAGTGTGACATCTTTTCCCAACTATGGCGGAAGCAGAAATGTCAATTTCTAGGCCAGATCTCAAATTCAAGAAGAAAGAGTCTTTCTCTTTGCCTCCCTCCACCCCTGTACACTAGGTACATCTTTACTATTTTCTTCTTTAACTTTAAATTACCCCAAAAGTGAATGACTATTATTTTTAATTGAGGTAAAATACACATAACATTTACTGTCTTAACCATTTTTAAGCATACAGTTCAGTGGCACAGAAACGTCCATGCTGTTGTGCAACCACCATCACCATCCATCCACAGAAGTCTTCTCATCTTGCAAAACTGAAACTCTGTACCCATTTAACAATAACTCCCCATTGCCCTCTTCCCCACCCCCTGGCAACCACCCTTTGACTTTCTGTCTCTGTGAATTTGACTACTCTAATTACCTCATACAAGTGGAATCACACAGCGTTTGTCTTTTCATGGCTGGATTATTTCACTTTGCATAAAGTGCTCAAGGTTCATCCATGTTGTAACATTTGTTAGAATTTTAAGGTCGAATAATATTTCATTGTATGTATATACCACAGTTTGTTTATCCAGTCATCTGTCAGTGGACACTTGGGTTGCTTCCACCTTTTGGCTATTATGAATCATGCTGCTATGAACATGTGTGTGCAAATATCTTTAATTTTAACACTTGTAGGTCCTCATCTGAGAGACAGCATACTAGAAAGAAAAATTAAATCACCATGACTGTATCATAAAATAATCTAACTCTTCAGCTCCTCAGTACTCAGGTAGGATAAGTAGTTTAGGTAGATGGATTTAAGTGCATATTAGGTAATGTTGTTACATAACAGAGGGTTATCCAGAATTATTTTCAATTTTTTATGCCATCTCTAACATGGCTAGAAGCATTATATATACTTTTTTTCAGTAAGAGAACACAGTACATGCTGTTTTCTTTCCTCATTAGATTTTGTTCTAAAGAAGTTACAACTCAGCAGAGTGATAGTCTAACAAGGACCAGTAATAAATCTTTCAATTCATTCTGTAGTGAGTGGAGTCCAGGGTTGAAAGTAATAGTCCTCACACCTGTGTGTGTGGACTGGAGAATGCCCTAAACAGCATGTTCAGCAGAGGGACCCATCCTGAGCCTGGAAACATGGCATCCAAACCCGCTACCACGCAGGCTGTAATTCTGGAAGTTCAAATGTGCCCAGGATCAGATTGTGTCCCCTTGAAATATAATAACCCTCTACAGAAACGGCCTGCCATTATGTGGTTGGCTCATGCTTTAAAGGGCTTATAGAACATTACAAATAAGTTCCATTGTACTCCAAAGGAAGAAGTTGCTGGAAGATAGGGAAGAGCTGGGTTTGGGAATGGCTGAACTTAGGAAGAACATCACTTAAAATAGTGAATTAGAACATTTAGTAAGGTGGACAAAGGTTAAGTATTACTATCTTTGTTACCTAAAAATTAACTTGAAGAGGCTCCAGATGTTACATTAATAATTAAACTGTAATAAAGTAATTATAAATAACAAAGATACAATAGGGGGGATAATAATAAAAAGATTCAGCTCAAACTTCACCTTCTTTTCTGAGTTCGCTAATCTCACCCCTGAGAAGTTCCCCATGCTCTGCCCCCTCAGAGCCTCGCACTAGTTGTTTGGGTCTGTACTCATCTCCCTCTAGAATCTGAAATGCTCTTAAGGAAAGGGACAGTCTTAGCCATTTGGTGTCCCCCAAAGAAATTAACTCAGCTGACGGAACTGAGCCAAAGGCGCAAAGGGACTGTCTTACAAGGTATCAATATGCTAGATCAAAATTGGGGTTTGCAAAGAAAACACCATAAGGTGAATAAGGTCTGGGGATCTAACGTAAAACATGGTGACTATAGTTGATACTACTGTATTGTATAATTGAAATTTGCTGAGAAAGTAGAACTGAAATGTTCTCACCAAAAAAAAAAAAGAAAAAAAGATAAATATGTGACTAGATGGGGGGAATCCTTTTACAATGTATACGTATATCAAATCACCACTATGTACATTTTAAATATCTTACAGTATTATTTGTCAGTTATACCTCAGTAAAACTGAAATAAAAGAAAGAGAAAACACAAATGTTGAAACACTTGAGGTCGTTCACTATGATGCCTGTTGTAATATTACAATTAATATTAATTATACCTTATAAGAAATAACTAAAATTGCTTATTAGAGAAAGAGAGGAAGGGAGAGAGAGAGGAGGAGGGGAAGGATGGAAGGAAGATTGGTTGTTCTAAATTTGTGAGAAGTAATGCTTTATTCTCCACACTGTAATTCAGGTATCAGTCATTCTTTCTCAACTTTTGTTATGATCCCCATATGTTCTAGAATTCTGGGACATCCTCAATCCAGAACTGTAGAACTAGGTAGAGTATTTGAAATATATTTGAAAGAAAAAAAAAGCTTCTACTGGGTTTTCATTTTTTTTCCCCAAAGTGGGGGGTAGGTACATTTGCCAATTGACAGCCAACCAAAAATAAAAAATAAAATGAAAAACCATTAAAAAGTAAAAGCTAAGTCCATCTTGGATGATACAGGAAGATTTTTAAAATTTTGCTTTTCAGAATTTGACGTAGTATTGAAATAACCACTACTTAGTGTTATTTAAGTAGGTAATGAAGCCTCCTTTGACATATTGAAACAAAAGTGGTTTAAAATTTTCTTCTTCCTCCTGAGGACATTACACTGAGTGAAATAAACTAGTTACAAAAAGACAAATACTGTATGATTCCGCTTTATGCGGTACCCAGAGTAGTCGAATTCATAGAGACAGAAAGTAGATGGTGGTTGCCAGGGGCTGGGGGCGGAGAGAGGAGTGGGGAGTTATTGTAAAATGGGTATAGAGCTTCAATTTTGCAAGATGAAGAGTTCTGTGGATGGATGGTGGTGATGGTTGCACAACAATGTGAATGTATTTAATGCTGCTGAACTGTACACTTAAAAATGGTGAAGATGTAGATGTTATATGTATTTTACTACAACTAAAAAACAAGTTTCTTCTTCCTTTAAAGAATATGGGAGGCAGATTTTGTAGTGGATTGATACTAGGTGAAAGTACAAGAATTGCAGTAGAAAAAACTAGGAGAGTTTATTTGGAGGTTTTAACAAGGGGTGGTATAGCCATTGGCCCCCTTTACTGAGTACATAGTACTGCTGTCTCAGTGCTTCAGAGGGCGTCAGAACAACCCAACCACCCTGGCAGTCTGTGAGGAGACTGTTATAGCCGGGTCCCCCTCATGTCCTAGTGGGCCATCCCCGGGATGGGATGGATGCGTTGAGTGCATTACCTTACATTTTAGCTCCCCTGTTCGCCAGGGATGATTGAACTCTGCGGTGGGCCTTTAATGGGAAAGCTCATGAGCCCTGTAGCACGCTGACTGCACCTGCTGTTGCAGGCCCTGACTTCAGTGGGGTCCTGCCTACATGTCCTGCCGTGTCCAGAAAAGTAGATACGGATTGATTGGAACTGGTGGAGAGAGAGGGAGGGGGCCAGGTCGGTTCACCCCTCTTCTTGGGACGATTTGTCTCAGCCTGTGCAGCCAGCAAGTCTCACGGGGTGCCACGTGCAGCCTTCACTGCTCTGAATGATTCCAAACACCACCCAGTTCCACATGCACCCGTTTCTGAATTGCCCAGCTTTGGGACGGCAAGCACTTGGGAAGTCAGATAAGCTAATTTACATGTGTAGTGATAACCCTCTCTAAAGCGCCTGAACGGGCGCTTTATAACACTGCCTTAGAAGAATCGAGTGTGATAACTTGTGAGAATGAGACTGCTCAAACATGAGGCAGATCTGAGGATGCCAGGGGAGCGTGGGCCTGTCCCCGCAGTGGCGTCAGTTGTCTCGTGTTCCTGTTGTTTGGATGAGGTACGGGGCTTTGTTTTCCCTGTACGGTGCTCAGTCATGGCCAGCCCAGATTTTTCCTTAGGAATATTGCTGAATTCTCTTAAACTAGTGACCAGTTTCTGAAGCCTTGCTTCAAGCTGTGGAGACAACGGCTGCCCCAGGCTGTGGCTGCCCCTGTGCTGAGCATGAAGGGCTGCCCCTGGAGGCCCAGGGCTTCCGCTCATGGAGCCGTCTTCTCAGGTGAGAACACGATTTCTATCCATCATGCCACACTTACCTCTCCGGGGTCTCCAGGGGACTTGGCCAGGCCCTGTGGATGGCATTCTACAGATCTGCCCCCATTCCTGGAGAAACATCCCAATGCGAATACCGGGCTGGTATTTGCCTCTTCTCTATATGCCTGTATCCTCAGCAATATTAAATCTCACAGTAACTAGAGAGGAAAGGAACCAGAGAGACCCAGGCTAGCATTGCAGTTCTAGTACTGCTTTGAGGGAAGTTATAAAATGGCATCTCTGAGGCTCAGTTTCCTTATCTGTCTAGTGCGAATAATAATAGGAGTAATTTCTCGGTCACTTTTCCTGCAGCTACAGCTGTGGATCTGGGCCAAGTGGACCAAAAGTCCCAGGAGAATGAGGGCGGGGCTTGGGGTGTGGAAGGGTGCTGCCATCAAGGGTTAAATATAGCAGGAGCTGGTAATTTCATGAGAGAAATAGAAAAGAAGTCTTTTCTTCTCCCCAGAATGGGGAGAATGGGTAGAAGTGAGTACAGAGGGAGTTCTTCAGATATGGATATAGCTCTATCGATATGCATGTTCTTACTTGTGGCTTTTTAATGTATGAAATATAATAAACACATGGTTTTCTGTCTTAATAAATTTGGATTCTGCTTTTGGTGTGAGCTTTTCTTGTTAAAGGGTGTTAAGTTTGAGAGATTTTCTCACCCTGTCTTTCCCCCTCCTCTGCCCTCCCTTCACACTGAACTTGAACTGCAGTCCCTGGGTAGGATTCCAATAAGGAGCCTGCCCTTTTAGTTTGGGAGTTTATTTTATGGCTGGCAGGTGATTGTGTTAACATGAAATAAACCCCTGGGATAGTAAATAATGTGATTGTTTAAGGTTAGTCTTCAAAAGGAGGCAGCCATGCTCTGGTAAAAATTTAACCGTATAGCCAGAAAGTGCCATTAACTTTGGTTAACAGTCTTGCTGCCTCTTATGTCCTTAGAAGCAGGCCCAGAGATTGGGAATTTAATCTGAAACCTGATTCTCTTTTGTTCACAATGAATCACGTACATTTGGAAAGGAAGAGCATTATAACAACATTCCTGTTTTAGCTAGTCTCCCTTTACCAAAAAACAAATGGAAAAAATTACAGCAGTTTTAAGATTATCTTTCCTCCTTGGATCCCGGATATTTACTTCCAAAAAAATGGCTTCTGTGTTTAACAACAACCCCTGTGCCCCCCCTAAAAAGGGTTCTGTCTAATTTCTAGTCTGATAAAACCCCTCCAAATTATTAATTTTCAACAGCTTAAACCTGTTGTAGCCAAAATCTGGGTTTTGATGGTACATTAGAATAGCTGCCATATTTCATTAAATCAAAGATGAGCCATGCATTGTAAGACATCCTGATTCCAGAGATGCAAAAAAATATGTCTAAGGTAAAATATAGCACAAGGGTATTTCTTTTTAAATTCTGAGTAAATAAAATGTAGGACACTTTCTTACCTCTTCCTGAAAGGGCTGTTGGACATATATATTGTTTTTCGATGAAAAGAAATTTTTCTTTTAGGAAAAAAATAAGAATTTTACTATGTTTCTGGAAATAACAGTGTTGATCCTTTTACATCCCTAAAGCAGGGTTGGGACTCACTCTGCAATATCTTCAGAGTTATTTTTTACTTTCTTAGTTCAAATCTCATATGATTCTTGCTATGCTAAGACATCTGTTTCCAAATTGGGGCTTTTAAATGTGGGCTATATTATTCTAAGAGAAAATTGCTTAATTAAAAAATTTTAAATATATATGTTATTAAAAATTATATAATATTAAAATAGATGTATATATAATTATTACAGTTAAGGAAATATAATATTGCAGAAAGTTTGGGAAGATGATAGTATTTTAACATTCATAAAACTGTACTGGGTATATCAGTTAATCACCAGATTTACATATTGGGGATTACTCTTTTATAAATTAGTGATGTATTTTGGTAGGTTTTAATTCTCTTCTTTCTTCCAGCTCTTCTTATTTGTACTTTAATGATCTTATGTGTCTCTATTTTTTTCTAGATTACTATCTTGGATGCAAAACGGAGCATGAACATTGGGATATTTCTTAAGCAATTTAAGAAGTAAGATTTTGCACACATTTGAAACTTTAATCGTATCCATGCTGTCAGCATCAGAGCTGTGGGTGTGAACTGAAATTCAGATTCTGATATGAGTAAAAGTCATTCCTCATACCTTCTTCGACACATAGCTTGATGAGTCTGGAAGTGTGTGTCACTTTCTGCTGTTTTCCTTCATGGAAACATAATCTAGGGGCTTGAAGTACAGGGATTGCCCCTCAGGGTGTCTATTCAAGACTGCCATCTCAGGGAATTTATAAATTTATCTGTAGTGTTGCCCCTTGAGTAGAGGTTGGACTGGTGAGTAAACAGTGGTTAAATTCAGGTGTTGTAAAGTGGAAAGGAGAGGGCTCTGCAGGGGTTCCATGAGACGAAAGGGGATTGTTTTTCTTCCCCCAAGAAGACTCTCAGTGTTGTTGCCTCTTGCATCCTTTCTGGGGTTCCCGAGGAAGGTTTTCCAGGTGAAGGGGCCTCTGAGTGGTGTATCAAGATCTCGGCTTTCCTGGCAGTGGGGCTGTTGTGATCGCTGACACAAAACCACCTGTCGGGCTGGGAAGAAGGTGGGATGGAAGGGAGTGTGGAGGAGGTTTTAATTTCCACTGGCTTGTGTTTCTTTGGCATTCCAGCAAATGTGAAATGGAATCTTAATTAATTGTCTTTTCAAGGTCTCCTCAATCCATTGTAGAAGATATTCATCAAGGAAAGAGTGAGCATTATGGATCAGAGACATTGCGAGAATTTCTGAAGCTTTTGCCAGAGTCAGAGGAGGTAAGGAATTTGGCGCGTGAGTTAGATGTTAGCAGTCATGATAAAAGCTTAATATTTTTAGGAATGTCAAAACTCGCATGAGAAGGGCACCCTCCTACCTGGAACCAGAGTTTTCTCATATAAAAGTAAAAAGTGACCTAGTAGAAAGAGTATGGGTTATGGAGTTCAAGAATCTAGGTTTAAATTGGAGCTTTACCCTTAATTGAGAAACTTGAGCAACTTTCTTAACTCCTGTGAACTTTAGTTTCCTCACCTGTAAAGTGACGATAATGATGCTTACCTCATTGGATTGTCAAGATGATTAAACCCTAGTTATGCATGTCATGTGGTGCTTGGCACATGGGAGCTCAATAAATTTTAGTTGCCTTTTCTGTCTAATGATGACCTTTGCCTAAGGTGCACCCAGGTTATTTATAACACATATACTTTTTTTAAAAAAAAGAAAAAGAAAACCCACATTTGGATGAAGGTGCTCTAAAAATTTGGAGAGATAAGTAAACTGTTAATAAATGTTGTCTATATAATTGACTAAAAGGTGGAAATTGCTGTGATAGCAATTTTAGGACCACAATATAAAGTTAATAGATTTTTGGGGGGACTGAATCAACTGAATTTTTGAATGGTTAGGAGCTTGACAGGGAAAAACAGAAAAACAATTTTATAAAACCTTCTAAAACTGTGATATTGTCTTTTATTTCTGAAGAAGTGACCCTTGAAAAAATTCAATAAGAAATTGCATGAATAAAAGCATTCGAATAGTATGGAGTCTTCTGAAGTAAAGTCATCCTTTTTACATATACTGCTGGCTCCTCCCTCCCCCATCCCACTCCTCTTCCCAGACATAATTTATGGAACTTAACTTTAGTGCCATTAATAACAACAAGAGAAATATGTCTTTGTGCTTTTTCTTTTACATCAATCAGTGACAAAACTCACAATGTCTTAGTGGGTAACTAGATGTTCTAGGTACTTCTAATAACCTGAGCCTCTCGCTCTACCTTGGGTTGTCTGTTTGCAAATTAAGTGTAATTCACCTAAGCCAAGATTAATTAATGGCATTTATTGATGTTAGTAAAGGATCTTAAAGTATTGAGGGAAAAGTACATTAAATCATAATTTACCTTGGATCTTATATATTGAACCCTCCTTAAGCTTTCTTTTAGGTAAAGATTGAGAGTTCCAAAATCTTTAATTAGGATGGATGGGGTTTAATTAATTTGTGTTTTAAAAAACATTTAGTTGGTCTCAAAATCTTATTCCTGCTTGGGCTTTTTTCATGACTCTTCCTTAGGACCACTTGGTATCCACTCCTAACTGACCTCATCGTTTTTTTTTTGTTTTTTTTTTTTGCTGAGGAAGATTTGCCCTGAACTAGCATCTGTTGCCAATCTTCCTCTTTTTTTTTTTTATTTGAGGAAGATTAGCCCTGAGCTAACATCTGTGCCAGTCTTCCTCTATTTTGTATGTGGGTCACCGCCACAGCATGGCTGACAAGTGGTGTAGGTCCGCATCCGGGAACCAGGCCCATGAACCTGGGCTCAACAGCGAAGCATGTCAAACTTAACCATTACACCACAAGGCTGGCCCAAGACCTCATCGTTTTTCTTAAGTGAGGATTAAATTTGATAGCACATGTGAAAGTGCTCTGAAAAGCTCTAAATTTCTAACTAAATGGAAGTTAGGCATGAGGGAGGCTGCCAGCTTCATGCCATGAAGAGGTGGGAGATTAATTATGGTTTTCTTAATATCTTCATTTCTAATTTAAAATTCAGAGGTGACTAGGGAATGCAAAGGCTGTGGAAGACTAAGGGATTTTTCAGAGAAACAACTTAGCTGTCAAACCTTTCATGTTTGAAAGAACTCTGTTTTTTGAGTTGTGTGTGGGATATAATTCAAAGGGCAGAATGTTAAGGGACGATGACTGAAAGGCACCCAAGCCTGCCCTGAGTCCCCAAGGCACTCTCTCCCCCCTAGACAGTTAGCTAACCCCGCAGACAGTGCCCTGCTGAGATGAAACATTGCTGTGGGATCCTGAACTGCCTTCCCTGCCTCTGAACCAGGCCACAGCTGTTTCTCCCGTCACCCTCCTGCTGCAGGGTCATCCTCGGCCTGAATATCTGACAAGCTTGGTCACACTTCTCCTTGTTTACATTACTGGGTCTTGGCGTTCAGCTCACCACACCCTCCAAACTCAACTGGGAGCTTCCTTCAGCAGGAACACCCTGACAGTCCCCAGGGGCCCCTTCCTAAATCACTCTGCTGGCAGAGGGAGCTGAAGCCACTTCATGACTGATGCTGGCTGCAAGGACAGACTGGCTTTGTTGTGAGTGCTGTGCGGCCTCTAGCACCACCAGGATCCGAGGCTGACCCTGGAGTCTTTGGTGGAGGGTGGAGGATGGGGAAGAGGCCAAGGAGGAGGCAGGGCCAACTGAGAGAGGTTTAGGAATGTGGCAGAAATATGCTAGTAAATGCATAAGCGTATGCGTAACTGCATGTTGCTAAGACTGCGGTGTAACGTTCTGTGCTCATTTTTAGCACAAGAAGGGACTAAAACATCGAGTGCTCCCATGTTCCAGGCACTGGGCAAGGAAAAATTCAGTCAAGGAAGATAATGTATTTTATTTTATTTTTTTTTATTTATTTTTTTTTAAAGAATTTGCTCTTATTTTTTTTTTTTTTTTTTTTAAAGATTTTATTTATTTTATTTTTTCCCCCCAAAGCCCCAGTAGATAGTTGTATGTCATAGCTGCACATCCTTCTAGTTGCTGTATGTGGGACTCGGCCTCAGGATGGACGGAGAAGTGGTGCCTCGATGCACACCCGGGATCCGAACCCGGGCCACCAGCATCGCAGCGCGCGCACTTAACCACCAAGCCACAGGGCCGGCCCAAGATAATGTATTTTAAGTGCTTAAGCCCAGTGTCTGGCACGTAGAAAGTCAAGAAATCATCACTCTGATTATTTTGTGTATTTTTTAAATTTAATCCTCACAGCCACATTGTAAGATAGTCCTCATTTTACAAATGGGAAACTGAGGCTCACACAGGTTAGCTAGACCGTGTCTCGTGTCCCGTGATTGATAGGCCCTAGAGGAAGGGGATTTGAACCCCGGTTGTCCGACCCCAGAGCAGTTCCTTCTGCTGCACTCCACCACCTCCCTTTGAGGAAGGAAGGGCAAAGGTTCTCAAAACTCCCCCTGCACCAGGCTGGCCTCCCAGCCTTTTCATCACCTCTGCCATCACAGAGGACTGGTGTGAGTAAGTGTCACTTGAATAATACTGTAATCTTATCAGCGTGCTGAAAAATATGAACGGAAACAGCCCTTTTCTCTCTGCATTCTCAGCTGACAAGCCAACCCAAGGTTAATTTGTTTTCAGGATTTCTCTGCCCTTCATCACAAATCTTTTATCTGGCATGTTTGTTCATCTTGTCTCAAGCTTGTGGTTAAAACCTGCAGAGGAAGAAGGTAGACCCAGAAATGAGAGCAGCGGGAGAGTGCTCTCCATCCGGCACAGTATTCCCGTGCCCTGAGGGGGGGCTCCAGGAGGAGCCAGGTGGGCAGTGGGAGGGAACCCCCCACCCAGCCTGCGAGCCTTTCCCTCTGTTGAGGCTAGTACCCTGTCGCCATCTCAGTGTCAGGGCAACAGGGCTGGAAGGTGGTGGAAGTTTTCCATTCTCTCTGGAAGCAGGTTGAGCTGCCTCCTTAGACATTTTTATCGCTTCATTCCTACCTTCTCTGTTTACTCTGCCTCCGGGAGGGAAATGACAGGGAGGAAAACCTAGTCTTCTCTTGAGTAGTCTGTTGGTGGGAAATCTTGCTATTTCAAGGCCATGTGAGTGGAATTAGATGGGATGAAGGAGGCCTGCCCTTTGGAATGTGTGCGTCTTAAGGAGCGTGCTGTTTGCTGTTAGGACAGAAATCGGGCACAGCTAGGTCATAATAGAGTCACTTGGCTCAGACAACGAACTCAGACAACGAACTTATGCCTAATAATGTTGGATAAATGCTTTTTGATGATGATGAGAATGCATAATAATTATAGGGTTTGTTCACCTCTCTTTTTTACCTCCCTGCCACTGTGAAGGTACAATAATCCCTCTTAATGAACGTAAATCTCATTTTGAAATGGAATTAAGAACTGTATACATGGCATTTAAATTAAATACTATCTTTCCATCACCATTCTCTTGAAATCCATAAACATTTTTAGCTCTTTACATAAGTGAAGGAGATTAATCGTCGTTCAGTTATAGCTGAGCACATGTTTAATAGAAATATCTACAAAGTTTACTTAGTGTGACCTGTTCTTGTGCTTTAGACAGAAAACTGTGCTGCTGTTTTCAGAAGTTTTGCACATGCTACATATATGGTCTTATAAAAGGCACAACCTCACTCTGCCCCTGCCCATATATAGTGAATTGTTAGACTCGGGCTCAGAAGGGATCAGAATTCATCCTATGGCTTTCTCACGTCAGAAACTAGGCACTGATTGAAGTTTAGCTAAATCAGAAGTTCCAACTGCACTTAAATTTAGTAAGACTAAAACTGGTAAATTCACTTTGGGGCCCTAAAGGTAGGGGAAATAATGCAATTCTATAAATGGCTATTTTCTGCCCATTGGAAAAAAAAAAAAGTAGTGTTAAGGACCAGACTTAATACTAGGGTATGCATCTGCACTGTTAGATTTTATGTTTTCGGATAATTGCTGTGGATATTTTAGTTTGTGGATCTTTGCAAATACCCCCTTCTCTGTGTTTTTGAACTGTGATTTCTTACTTTTCAAATGGCTTGAAAATCATGTTATTTTTATGGGCACCCAACATAATCCAGGGGGCAGAAGAGAGAAAGCTTTGTAAAGAACAATAAAAAGTGGTTAGTGCCTACTGGCGACAGTTAGCTGCAAAGTTAGACTGTCTACTTACTAGTAATCTTGAGGTACTACTTACCATAAAGTATTTTTGTTGGGGGACCCTCTGTTGCGGTGGGCAGAAGTGGTTTGCTATTGGGTTGGTCCAGTTGTCTGTTTGGGGGAAGGCATGACATGCTCTCCGATGCATTTTGAGAGCTTTCTCTTTGCCTCCATCCCCATCTGCTAGCTCTTTGGCTATATTCCTATGTCAAACTCTCTTTTTTTCCTTTACTACAGTTGAAGGAATATTTGTTTAGTAACTTTTAGTTTAGTTTAATTTTTTTACAAGAGTAACATATGCTCATTGTAGACATTTTAGAAAATAAAAATGAGCAGCAGAAGAAAATAATAATCACTGTAATCCTCTCACTTAGTGGAGGTGGGGCCTTTAGTCTTTTTGTGGTGTATGTAGGATGTGCATGGAGGGTTGGGAGGTAGTAGACACTTTTTTTTTTTAATTTATAGAAAAGGAATCCTACTGTACATACTGTTACTTTATTACCTGATTTTTTCATAGGAGGATATCTTGACACCACCACTTCTGTGGCCCAGGGTTTGCGAGTTCAGATCCTGGGCGCAGACCTACACATCACTCATCAAGCCATGCTGTGGTGGTTTCCCACATAGAAAACAGAGGAAGATTAGCACATATGTTAGCTCAGGGACAATCTTCCTCACCAAAAAAAAAAAAAAAAAATCTACAAAGTTTACTTAGTGTGACCTGTTCGTGTGCTTTTCTTAGTCTTTTCTTAGGTCTGCATTTTATTAATTTGAATTTAGCACCCAAATCCTATTTTCTTAAAGAAATTCTAAGATGAAATTTAAAATCATGTTACATTTTAATCATAGTTATTTTTTTCTCTGCCCCCTTTTCCATTTGTCTTTTAGATAAAGAAATTAAAAACATTTAGTGGAGATGTGTCCAAGCTGTCCCTGGCAGACTCCTTTCTGCACTACTTAATTCAGGTGCCAAAGTAAGGATCACCCATCATTGTTCTTTGCAGAGTAAGGTTTTTAAATGAATGACATCAAATTCTACAGTTTTGCTTTTTAAAATTTTGCAGCTATTCACTTCGGATTGAAGCGATGGTGCTAAAGAAGGAATTTTTGCCTTCTTGTTCTTCTCTATACACAGATATAACTATTCTAAGAACTGCTACAAAAGGTAAGTAGATGCATGGTGCTTCATGTAATTCATTTTTATTAATTTTGGTAGCAGTTTATTTCTAAAAACTATTCAATTGGAATTAGAAGTAGAAGGTCCCATTTCTGATACACCCTAAAAAGAGAAAGTGAGATGTTCCCAGGGATGGCATTTGAGGCTTATTTTCATTTACTTTCCCCTCTTGTTAATTAATTGTTTAATTAATTGGCCAATCAATCAATTAATTAGCATATTATCCTCCCATAAAAGAAGCTTTCTTTCATCTCAAGCTTTGGAGTAAACCTTGCTGGTTGCACCTCACTCTTGTTCCTCTCCTAGGCTAGCTTTCTGTGTGTATCTGGGGGGTATGGGTGTGTGTGGTGGCATGTGCTCAGAGCCTGGCTCCCTGGGCCAGCCGTGTCTCTCCTGGTGCTCTGGCCTCTGTTGGTGTCTCAGACACCAGAAGCAGGCCTCCTTTCCTCCTGACTCCTCCCGGGCATCTCCAGTCACGCTTCTGCCCTGGTGTTTCTGCTCCCACCCACTTCCCCTCCAGACTCGAACATCTGGTGGGCTAGTTATCTTTGAGAGGGGCTAGTTGGTCATTTTCGTTTCTTTGAACAACTTGCTAAGTTTTTGCATACCCAGCGTGGACAGACTCCTTAGAGTTGCTCTAATGTCTCATTCCGCAGGGCTGGGAGTTTTGCTTTCTTGCATTTGCAGCAGGCATTTGCATTTGTCCACTTCACATCTCCGAGGCAAAGTCTCTGGCACTCCCTGACTCTCACATTTTCCAGCATTCCTCAGCCCGATTTCCCCTTGGTCCTTTTCTGGGTTTCTGGTTACTATTGTAGCATGTCTGTTCCTATTTGGTTTTCCTGTTTAGTTGCACTGGCCTGTGTTAGGATAAAATTTCTCTCTTTAGCCCATCATATTTTCTTTATTTTAGAGAGGAGACTATGAATTAAGGAGAATTTTTCTTCTTTTAATATAAAGACATTTTAAAATTTCTTCTACCTCCAAGGCTATTGGCAGCATCTTTGGGAGGGTTGTTGCTCCTGTTCACATAGAGCTGGAAGAACATGTTTTTGTATTGAGCAATGTAAATTTCTAGGCACGGTGGAAACATTTCTTATCTAGCTACCCTTCAAAAACTGGCCTTCTTAGATAACAAAATATAGGCAGTGATCCAAATGTAATTTTTTTAAAGTAAAACCAGACTTAATGGAGAATATTAACTTAAAAATATCATAGGTGACATTTTATTATCTATATGTACTAGAATTTTAATAATCAAACTTTCTTTTTAGCTTTTCAAGTACATTAACAGTTTTTAATACTGTTTATTTGTGTAGGTGTGTGTACAAAAGATTCTGTGTTTAAAGAACTAGTTTACCAATATATTACAAGGATAAGTTCCTTTTTAAATCTTTATGCCAATCCAAATGAAATGTACAGTTTTGAATAAAATGGAAAGATTCTCTGGTGACTGGTCTCTAAGGGATGGTACTTTGCAAGTTATTTACATGTCATCTCAGTCTGTTTACGTTTTATCTCTTTGTAGCTCATCGACTAAGCAAAATGTCGCTTGCTATTAGTTTTCATATTCCATAAATATAGTCTCAAAGGCTAAGTGGATTTAAAGGAAAAAAATAAAGAAATAACTGCTGAGAAGAAACTTATTCCGATAACACAGTATACTGCTTTTCATAAGGCCTTTGCATTGTCCACGACTTGAATATTTTCATTATTGAACTATTTTGTGATGTGTCATACATATTTGACTCCCAGTTAAACTCTAGGATGTGAATGGCCAGTAGCAAATGGTGCATTAGATATACCATAGATGTGCTCCTTTATTTGTGGTTTTCAGTCTTTGTGTACAGTTTAGGGTCAGAGCTTGCTTCAGATACACTTGAACTTGGATGTGGTAGCTGTCTTCTGTGCATTTAAGCTGCAGGCTTCTCTAAGGCACTGTGGTGTGTTCTTTTTGACAGAGCTGATGTTGTGTGAGGAGCTGCATTCGATATTACACTTAGTGCTGCAGGCGGGGAATATCATGAATGCAGTAAGTAAAATTCAAAAAAACAAAAATGTTGTATTTCCAACTTTATTTGTCTGTCTAAAGGTATGTGTATATTTTTCTCTTTTGATTTGTCTTCTTTAGGGAGGGTATGCTGGCAATGCAGTAGGATTTAAACTGTCTTCTTTGCTCAAATTGGCAGACACAAAAGCAAACAAACCTGGGATGAATCTTCTGCACTTTGTTGCACAGGTATGTGGAAGTGATTAAAACAGAGAGGGAAAGTGTGTGAATCCCCCTGGAGGTGGTGGAGTTTTTCTGAGGCATAAGGTGGCGTCAGACAGAGTTAGGAAAGGGCATGGCAGGTTCCAAGATGGTTCTATCTGCAGAAGCACTATCTGCAAATTCCTGAGTTGAGCTGTGCCTAGGGTTATAGGACTGGAGGGAAGTGAGGGGTCAGGGAGTGAGGCAGAGGTCGGGGTTGGTGAAGCCAGGTTATGAAGGATTCAAATCTTGAAGCTGGGGCATTTGGATTTCATGCTTTAGCAATGGGGAGCCAAGAGAGGTTTGCGCACAGCATAATGGCATGACCAGGTTTGTTTTTGTGTTTAGGAAAATGAGGCAATGTAGAGCGTGGGTTGGAGTGGACAGAGAACTAGAACTAGAAACACCTCTTGATATAAGTTGGCTCTAATTATTTGGTGAGAGTTGAGAATCAGAGTAATGGCCACAAGGATGGAGAGTAGAGGCCTGGGTGTTGCAACATTTCTGATGTTGAAGTCACTAGATTTTTGACCAGCTATGTGTGAAGAGTGAGGGAGTCAGAGCAATTAAAAAGATCACTTCGGCTTTTTTTCTTTTTGAGCTGTGGGTTAGAGTGTCTTACCACTCGCTAGCACAGGGTTTGGGGTCTGGACCCTGTCTATCACTTCCATTTTTGAGTGGGTCTATGTGATGCCAAAATAACAAGTTAAAGTGAAAAATCAGCCAAGGATGGTGATCTCTTTGTTGTTAATTTATCTCAACAAATTGTACTGATTTGTTCTTCCTTCACTGAATCTGCTTGTTGTTTTGACAGCAGTCACATAGACAGAGCTTTAACCTGGGGAGGAAGCTGCATTGCATGCTTGTTTCAAGTGTGAGCTTCACAATGGGGCAGAGCTGGGAGACTTTGACTTGTCCTCTATTAGCTGTACTTCCTGAGACAAGTCACTTAAACCTTAAGACCCTCAATTTCTTCATCTAATGCTGGGGATAGTGATACTTACCTCAAAACCAGGTAATTGAGAGGGCCAAAGGAGATAATTCCAGAAAGTGCTTAGCTCAGTGTTTGGTATATAGTAATTGCTCCATAAATAATACACACTATTATTATTACATTCTTCAGAAGACAGAGGGCATGTTTAACTCAGTACTAAAGTAAAAGTTAATTTTCAGAGCATTAAAACCAGAAAATGTGTTCCTCGGCCCACGTGGCTTGCAGAGAGTCTTCTGGCAGCCCTTTTGGATCCATTATCCAGGTCCTCTGTGTATCTTGGTCCCTGCCCATGGGAAAAAGTGTCCTGAGTTGGTAACGGCTCCCTTCCCATCTGCCTTCCTTGCACCCTCTGAACAACTGAAGAATCCAAACTCCTCCACGGCTCTTGCACCTTCTGATTAAACTCAGTTTGCAAACTAGTTTAACCGCTGAAGGTATCTCAGCTATTTAAAGGCATTCTCATAGGTATGGGTGGTATTTAATCAGCATATATTGGATTCTCTTAGAAATAATGGGCCCTGCTAAGCTGCCACCTGCTTCTGTTGAGTTTTCTTGCACATGAATTTTGTTCTATGTCAGGGTCAGTTGCTCTGGGAAGTTAAGTGTACCTGAGAGTAGGGGAGTTCTGGTAAATCTTACTGAGAATATCAGAGTTCATGGCTCAGTGAATTGCTTTGAATGTATCAAGCGTAAAAATGGGAACAGTGATGTTAAGTTTCCTTTAAGCCCTGAGAAAATGATTTCCTCCCTGTTTTATCCGTATAGTGAGAGAAAATTCTGTTTTTGTTCCAGGAAGCACAAAAGAAAGATGCCATTCTTCTAAACTTTTCTGAAAAATTGCATCATGTTCAGGAGGCTGCTAGGTAAGTGAGGAAGACTGAAGGTAAATTGTGAGAATTCAAGGTTTTTTTTAAACTATCTTCTTATGAAAATTGATGAATATTTCATAACTTCTGGATTTAAGCTTGAACTTTAAAGAGTTTGGTTGAACTTTCAGACCTTCCTTTCATTTGCTTACAGAGGTGTGTGCAACTTTGGAATTTGGGAGTTTTGAAAAATTAATCTTTATTTTTAATCTAAAAATACCTATTGCAGTTTATTCTAATAAATATCATCAGTGTAAAAAAAATATGTATTAAGAACTTCAAATCCCTCCACACCCAAAAGACAGAGCTCAAACAACACAGCCTGTTACCTTGGGAGTTGGTGCATATCAGTCAAACTTGCAGGGCCATACATCACTCTTTCTTGTAGAACCTAACATGGAACATTTATTTTCTATTGCATTAGAAGAAGTTGGAACCATACCAAAGGCTGTGAAAGGATTTTGTTTTAAATTAGTCACTCAACTTTACAGAGAAAGTATCTCCCCAACATAAAGTTCTATTTACAGCACTTTAATTTGCTTCTCATCCTAATACAGTTGTGTATTTTAATGTAGCTATAATCTGTGTGTGCTGCTGTTTTGAGTTCTCTGTTTTTAAATTTGTAATACATATTCATGCATTCAGTGGTAAATGTTCAATAACCAGCTTTTCGGGAGAAGAGTCCTGATTTGTAGCATTTGCTGATTTCTGTGTATAAATATTGCTGCCATGGTTGATTGCGAGCTACCAACTCGGCATTACTGAATGCGGAGTTGGGAAGAGATACCCATACCCATGGCCGCCTCCTGCGAGCTGGCTTCAGCACACCACTTCATGTATCAAGCCAGTTCATGTCATATACTTATTATCTGAGTGTCTGTATCCATTCAAGACAGCTATGAACCATATGCATAAACACATGAACCATAGCTCTTCAAGCCAAGCCCTGTCACTGGCCATTGTCTCAATGTTATTCACTCTGAACATCTAACCACAGATTACACATCTTTCCCAAAGTGAGATTATCAGCCCAAAGGTGTGAACAGCTCATAGTTCATGATTACAGATGGCCAGATTATTCCCCCAAGAGAACAAGCATCTTATAAGATATAAACTAAAACAAATTTGTGTGGGAATCTTTTTTCCTCTGAGTAGTATAGAAATGTTACTAAGAGACAGAGAGAGAGAAATAACATTACATTTTTGAATTGACATTTCTGGTCAGAGTTAGATGAGGAAGTTTAGCTAGATATTGTCTTAGAAAAAAACCTATTCAGTAAGGTTTGCTTATTTGAAGTGGAAGGTGAAATACACTTGTGAAGTATAAACAGATCATAGGTGGATGCCAATGACCAGTGAAGGTGGAAAACTTTATTGCAAAAAGAAAAGTTAGGTTGACAATGGAAGCGTGAAAGCACCCTAATTTATAAATTTGCTAATGGAATTCCACCTGGATTTTAGGTGTCACTTATTTACTTTACCAGGTGACAAAAACATCATTCATGCTCTACTAATCTTGATTTGACATACAGAACAAAAGCCTTTCAATCAGTCCTCCCATTTCTTTGCAGAATTGTTAGCTGTGTGTTAGTTCCCTCTAAAATACAGTGCTGGGCCGGCCCAGTGGCGCAAGCGGTTAAGTGCGCGCGCTCCGCTGCGGCGGCCCAGGGTTCGCCGGTTCGGATCCTGGGCGCGCACCGATGCACCACTTGGCAAGCCATGCTGTGGCGGCGTCCCATATAAAGTGGAGGAAGATGGGCACGGATGTTAGCCCAGGGCCAGTCTTCCTCAGCAAAAAAAGAGGAGGATTGGCAGATGTTAGCACAGGGCCGATCTTCCTCACAAAAAAAATAAAATAAATAAATAAATAAAACACAGTGCTTACCCTGGGTGTCTGTGGCAACCAACATGAAGTCTGCTTAGACTCTCCCTATTACCCTTAGTGTCAGGATTAGCAGCGTTTGCTGTCTTGCTTTTCGTGAGTTAGAACTTTTGTGTTTGTGTTTAATGGCCAGAGGAGAGTGTAAGGATCTGAGTCCTGCTGGCTTTTAGCTTTTAATGCTTATTTCATAAAGGTGTTCAGACAAGTCCCATGGTTTTGGTTATCTCACCAGCAAGAGCAAAGTTACAGCCTGCTCTCTTTGAACCACTGTGTGCCTTTAGGAAGGAATCGGGCTTAAAAAAACATAGGAGGAAGCTCTAAATACAGGGATAGGTAAAGGTAACCGCAGTAGCTCTCCCCTTCTGTTTCTAGGGTTGACCAACGGTTGGTCTTGTTTGATGTACCTACATGACACATGGCTTCTCTGTGCCAACTGCCCACTCTCCCCTTTCTTCTTTTAGATTATCTCTGGATAGTACGGAGGCAGAACTACACTCGCTCTTTGTCAGGACAAGATCTCTAAAGGAAAACATCCAGCGGGATGGTGAACTTTGTCAGCAGATGGAAGATTTCCTTCAGGTTTGTGGGTGATTCAAGTCAGTCCCTCTAATTTCATCTTCCAGCAGCACCGCGGAGGCTGGTTAAATTTGCATGGGCGTGTTTGTGGAAGCAGCAGGTTCCCATTCATATTTTTTCCCCCAAGTCAGTGAAAGGAACTTTGTATTTCAATGCCCATTCTCTGTTGGATTGGTTTTTTAACAGAGGATATTGAGTAGGGTCTAAGCCTCAGGTGTTTGTTAGGGGCTGGGCCCGGGGTTTATCACGGCTCCGTTTGCATGATCGCACCCCACCGTAGTGAACAGGTACCAGCTTCTGGGGCTTACGCTTGGCAAGTTATGTCTGGGAACTCAAGTTTTGGTTCTAAACCGTGATTTAGGCGTTCCTGTCTCCCAGTCAAACTTTTGGACAACAGAATGACGTTCCCTAGAAATTGTAAAGACACCTGAGAACTTGGGCTGTGGTTCCTTCACTTGTTTTTATTGAAGAAACAAGCTGCATTTTGGCATGTGTTCTAATGAGCACGGGAGAACACAGGATAGCTGTGCCTATCAATACCCAGAATACCTCAGCCGCACAGGGTGTGTCGGGAGCTGCTCCGAATAACATCAACAAAAAACAGCAGAGTGGATGTGTTTGTGACAGCTCCTTGTGACTCACTAATCACATAGTCTGACATACTTCTTCTCTCTTCCTTATTTAAAAAAAGTGGCACCGTTTCATGCTTTCAGTCTTGGGTGAAATGGTGTGCTACCTTAAATGTCAGTGCTTTGAGACTTGCGAGGTGGAACATGTGTGGCAGGCTGCCCTTGGCACTAGGAAGGAACAGCATGCGCCAAAGGTTGTACCAACCTGGGCCTCTACTCATAATTAAGCTACATCAAATATTGTGAGCTTCAGCTCCCATCAGCAAACACTTGATTTTGTTTGGCTCTGCTGTGAGTTTATTTTTATTATTAAACACGTGTTCTGTGTTTTCTTTCAAATATAACCAAACTCTGATTTTCCCTTTAAAGTGCACAGATTTTCCTCAAAGTGAAACCACAAAGCAAACACCACCACAGAAACACCTAACAGTAGGTAGTAAGCACATTCAAATGAAACCAATCCAGAAATTCAAGGAGAAGGCCCATCATTCATCGAGATAAGAATTCTGGATGTCTCATTCTCCAGTTCTTATATTAAATATTAATATCTTATGCTAAATAGTAATACAGAAAGGCTTATGATGAAAAGCAGGTCTGTCTTAGCCGCGCATCTAGACCCCTCTTCAAAAGCGACCTTGTTTTAATTCTAAACGCTTCTTTTTGGTGGTCATTTTTCTCTCTGTAAATAAAATATCCCATGCAGCTATTATTTTTCTTTTTTAAATTCAATTTCTTTTTAAATAGGGGAGATCCAATTCTTTAAGGTAGGTTATAGGGTCAGGCCATGAAGGGCTATGAATGCCTCTGAACACTTTGGACTTGGTGCTCTAAGCCGTGGGGAACTAGTGAAGGTTTTTGAGCAGAAGAATGACAGGAACACAGTTTTGCAGATCTATGTCAGTATTTTGACCCTGTGGGCAACAAATACCAAGTAAATTGCTTTGGAACTTTGGTCCGTAGCAGACAAGTTAGAGATGGAAAGTTGAGTTTGCTACCGGAACTGCTAATCTGTTGTCAATCATGCTTTACCAGTGTAGCTTTGGACTTTTACGTTTATGGCCCTAGTTGTGTAGAAAATGAACTTGTGGCAAATAACTCTGAGCATGGTGATTTTTCAGATCCATATTCGGAATGTTTCACTGTCCCAAGTCCTAAAGGTGACTGCAGTGCATTTAAGTTTTTCCTTCCTAGTATTGTCTCAATGCCCATGGGATCTGGTGATGAGACATACGAGGTGGAGCTGAGCTCCCATATAGATTCTTGTCAAGAGTCCTATTTTTTTGCAGTTGAGCTGTTCTTGGCTGGAATCCACCTTTCCCCTTGTGGAACAATGACAGGCAAAGATTTATCCTTTCATTAATAACCTTCTTTCCCTAAAGAAAAATATGGCATGAATGTACACACTGCCTTGGGCTACTGACTCAGATGGTTACTTTCTCTGGTATTTGGTTTCCTAAATAGTTTTGGTTTCCTGCTACCTCTTGAATGTTTGGTGTAAGAAAAGGGCTTTTAAGGGGGAAAGTGTGTTGGAGTGGGTGGGAGGTGATGAGTCTTCTTGGAATTTCTCTTTAGGTTCTGTAGCTCTCCAAGCACGTTCAAGCAGCGATTCCACTCCTCAAGGGTGGGCAACCTATAACTTCACCATTTGCCAGGCCTGTCCCCCCACTCAAAAAGAAGTTTCTCAAATATAAGCCTTTTTAAAAGCATGATACATGTGACTTCATAAAGTAATATATTTCATACATTTCTTCTTCATATAAGCCTTGTTCCTCAGTGACAAAGAAAGCAGTGTGAGACTTCAGTGTGATCCCAGATATTCAGTCTCCATGGGGTTGTGGCTCCTCCAGCCTGCTGTGTGCTCATTTCAGTTCAGCATTCAGTCACTGAGCTGCAGTTAGGGAAGGGGGTTTGTGCCCCTTGGCCCTAGTGGATCCCTGTCCTGAAAGGGTTGGGAGCTCATTGGAGGAAAGCAAGCTCTGTCATTCCCACTGTTTGGTTGTGGCAGTATTTGGATCTGAAGGGGCCTTGGAGACTTTGTGTAGAAGAATTAGGAGACAGTGAAGAAGTAAAGAGCATGGATTTCTATCTGGCAATAATTCCTAACCATGGGTACCCATCAGAGTTTTAATAAAATATTAATGGCAGGTCCACCCCACACCTACTAAATTGCATGGGTGGGGTACAAGCATGGACTGTAGACAGTGCTTCCCAGCTGGCTTGGACAAGCACCCCTGTATGAGAAGCCTTTGCTAGGCGTTTGTCTAGGCACGAGAGCTTCAGTCCTGTGGGGGTGATATTGACCCTGACGTAGCTCATTTGCAATTAAGTTTAAACTCCCTCTCAACAGGGCAGACCTCTCAGCAGACAACTTGTGAATCCAACCAGGGCCTTCTGGACCCTAAAGTAAACTCTTGGCCAGTATAAGACTCGGTTTTAAGAGAAGGAAGAACAGACGCAGAATGGGTCTTCCTTAATAAAACCAACTGTACACCGTGTCATTTTTTCAATGACATTAAAGGTGAACATTTTGTTAGTGGCATTCCACAGGTTAAAGCTCTTTAATCTCTTGTGGCTTCCAGGCCTCACACAGGAGTTCACCTTGCTTCCCCAAGGTTTAGTTTGGGTTGAATTGTTTTCCTTTTGGCTCCGAGTGCAGTGGACTTGCAATAAACCTCACCTTTCTCAAGACCTGAAATTGAACCCCGGAGCACGTCTTCCCGGGGCACCAGACGGGACGCCGAGCGCCTCGCAGCCGACCCTGTTTACTTCAGCGTGTGCTCGTTTGTTTTCCTGCAGTTTGCCGTGGAAAAGCTGACGGAACTGGAGCGCTGGAAGCAAGAGCTCCAGGACGAGGCCCACACCCTGATAGATTTTTTCTGCGAAGACAAAGAAACCATGAAACTGGACGAATGCCTTCAGATATTTAGAGACTTTTGTATCAAATTCAACAAAGCGGTTAAGGTACGGCTGAGGGCATCTCTGTGTTTTTCTGAGTTGTTTGCATTTTTATTTTTCTTCTTCTGGACCCAGCCCTCTGCCCATGGCACAAAGATGGTTCAGCATTTCCACGGTTTCAGGAAAGTCTGGTTCAGGCAGCGTTGCCAGGCTTTCAGTTGGGATTACTGGGAAGCGGCTCTGCCATTCCGGCCCCAAGCACTTTGTGTCGTCAGGAGTCTGGCATTTGGCTGCTTCTGCTACTTTGCTGCTCATACTGACACTCGCTTTAACGCCCCCAAAGCATTTTGTTGGTAAAGTTTATTTATGATGGCAGTCAGGATATTAAAAAGTCTGAAGACCCTGAATGACTTTCTCACCCCCACCCCAGGAGGGGATGTCCTCTTTCAGGGAGACCTGGATTGTGGTGGGATGATCCGAAGGCCTTCTCTCACCTGTGTCGAGCACGGTAGCCATTGCTCCGGGAGTGGGCACCATGGGAACCAGAGCAGGCTTCGAAATTCTCAAATATTTAGGGAGCCGACTGCTGTCTGAGCACAACAGCCGTGTTTCTTGCCCTTCCACCACCAATTCCAGGAATCTCTGAGTTCAGTGCAGAAGCCAGAAAACTCTCTGGGTTGCTTGGCTTTGCAAATAAAACTTTCATCTGTGAATTAAAAACAAAACATCCCTTCACTTCACGTGGTGCCGAGGAACCAAATACTTGTGCGTCATCTCTTTCCCTATATTTTAAATGTAGGTTTGTCCATAGCCGAATTTCTTTGAGGACTGGTCAAATTTCTCTTCAGTCCTAAGTGAGTAGCCCAGAGTTACTTGAGTTCTCAACCTTTCCTTTCTCTATCCAGCTAAGAGAAGGAGGCTAAGCCTGTGGCCACGTCTGCTCTCCTGGGTCCAGGCAGTGAGCTCAGTGGGGAGGCGGTGGTGGGGGGTAGAGGCCAAATTGGCTCTTTCTGAGGCCCTCACTCCCTGGCAGAGTCCTACAGGCCCGAGAGACCACCTGTGTGATGCTCTCAGCCCAGCCGCCCTGAGAGCCAGGAGCTAGCCCCGCCCCCACTGCAGACAGCCTTGAAAAGAACGGCCTCAGAGACATGGGAACATGGGGTGTCTGAGGCCAGAGCTGCAGGAGGGGCCAAGAGTCCCCAGCCAGAGCCAGAGCCTCACAGAAACTTGGATGGGAAAGTCCACCGTCTGAGGAAAGTGATTTTCAAGTAACAAATACTAAGGATAACAGATTTGGGTTGTGAGAGCCACATATTTATGTGACACAGATATATTTAAAGTGCACAGCCAGGCGCTAAGTGTGCTTTGGTATGTGCCTTTGTGCTGGTTCCATTTGGTTGGGGGAGGGCTGGGCGCTTGGAGCAGGCTGTAAGGTAGAAGGTTTTGGAAAGCAAATCCTCTTCTCTGATTGTGGGAAGGGGGTGGGGCACAAGGGACAGAGCCACCGTGGCATTTCTGGTGTTTCTTTATCAGGGAGCGCTCAGAGAACAGAGATTTGAAAGACATCTCTTAATGTCTTGGGTATGCATTTATGCACTGAAATCCTTGTTAGGTAGAATGTGCTGCACATGAGAAAGAGAGAGAGAGAGAGACAGTGTGTGTGTGTGTGTGTGTGTGTGTGTGTGTAGATCATGCAACACAGCGGGACAATTTCAGGCTCCCCCTTTTAACACCCGTAGTATTTTTCTTTCTGCCATTGCCGACATAGCACTTTCCTGGAAGTCTTTTCTGTCTTGCCCTGCTTAGAAACCAAGTTAGGTTTCCTCAGAGTCGAGGTTGCAGGCATGTGTGGAATCACATGCTGCCCTGAGGGGACAATGCCTTGACTGGAAGTTGGGCCCAGTGATCCAATGACAACCTTAGACAGATTACTGGGGCCAGGCCTAGTATGCTCCTCCAGTCAGATCCCCAAGTAGGGCTGGGCGAACCTAGCCCTCCCCACACACACGCAGGTGCAGACACACACAGTCTGTCTCAGTGAAGCTCATGACCCAGGTCTCTTCTCCACGTGGGTATCTCTCACTGGAGTTCTAGGGTAGGTGGTTCTGGAATTGCACATGGCTCCCTCGTGCCTCATGCATCTCTGGGCTTCTCTCTACCCCTCGTTCAGGACAACCGTGACCGGGAGGTGCAGGAGCTGAGGCAGCTGCAGCGGCTCAAGGAGCTGGAGCAGAAGCGTCGTTCCTGGACGGCTGGGGAGCTTGGGGGATTCGGCCGGAGCAGCAGTGAGAATGACGTGGAGCAGCTGACCAAGAAGGGTGCAGAGGACCTGCCCTCTTTCCTGCACCCCAGGCCCATCAGCCCCTCCTACCGACCCCCCAACACCCGCCGTTCTCGCCTCTCCCTGGGCATCTCCGCTGACCGGGAGCTGCTGACCTTCCTGGAGAGCTCCACTGGCAGCTCAGAGGAGCCCAACAAGTTTAACAGCTTGCCCCGGAGCAGCCCCCGGCAGGCCTGGCCCACCGTAGTCTGGATGGATCCTGGAGAGCCAAGGGGCCAGGACTCCAGCCGCACATGTAGACCTGAGGCCTCAGAGAGCCAGGAGGAAGCCCCTGACCCATCCTTAGCTTGGCAGAGCCAGCTCCCAGTCCCTCGGCCTGGGGAGGCTGCATCCGCCTTCCCCCAAGCTCGGCGTGGCGGCATCAGCATCCTCCGAAAGAGGAACAGCGAACCTGTGGGCCTGGGTCCCGGCCGGTCCCCTCCACTCTCGCCACTGGCTCTGGGGATTAAGGAGCATGAGCTGGTGACAGGGCTGGCCCAGTTCGATCTCCAGGGTTCCAAGGGCCCAGAGATACCCCGGCTGATCGTGAATGACTTCACCCCAGTGGTGTCTTTGGAGGATGGGAGCCTGCATCCCCTTGGCACCAGCAACGGCAGCCTAACACGTGTGGGCAGAGGTGCCCCGCGGGGCCTCAGTCCAGCCCTGGGGGATGGCAGTGCTGCCCCTAATGAACCCAGCAGCTCGGCTCTGGTATCTGTGGGCAGCAGTGACCCTGAGAACAAAGATCCGGGGCCTCTGGTCTACATCTCGGACACCACCGACTGTTCTCTGACCCTGGACTGCTCAGAGGGAACCGACTCCAGACCTGGAGCGGGGGAGCCGGGGGAGAGGGGTGAAGGGGATGGCTCCGTGTCCTCTGGGGCTGGGGAGACGGGTGGCAGCCAGGTCTCCTCTAACCCTGCTTCCAGCCCCCCTGGGGAGGCCCCTGCCCCTGTCTCCGTGAAGAGCGGGCCCAGCTGTAAGGGTGGCCTTCCCAGGGACAGACCCGCGAAAGGGAAGGATGTGGTGGCACCAAAGAGAAACTTCCTCAAAGAGGTGTCCCAGGTGGCCTCCAAGCCGGGGAGTGGCCGGCGGGGCCAGGGGGCGGCACCCAAGCCCGTGCGGACCTTGACCTCCTCAGAGAGCGAGGGCATGCGCAAGGTCGTGCCCATCTCCAGGGCCAGCAGGGCCTCCGCGGGCTGGAAGCGGCCCCCTCGGGAGACCCCCGGCAGCACAGATGTGCCGTGGTCGCGCCGGAGCGCTGTGCGGGGGAGCTCAGATGCGTCGCCCAGGAGGCCCTCGACGGGGCCGGTGGTGGTGGCTGAGGAGCAGAGGCTGCGCCGAGCCAGTGGCAGCTCCAGCAGCGCCCGTCCCGGGAAGGAGCCCTCCCTGCAGCCCAGGGGCTCCGTCAGGAAGCCCAGCGCCAAGCCCCTCAGAAACGTCACCAGACAGAAACCTGAGGACAATAAGATCTGCTGCTCCAACTCCCAGGGCCCCGAGAGCCCCCAAGAAGACCCCAAGCCCCCGCCAGCCCCCAGTGTCCCCCGTGTCCCACTCCCCATCCCGAGCTTCGCCCGAAACACGGTGGCCTCCTCATCTCGCTCCATGAGAACAGATTCCCCTCCTGTGGCCAAAGTCCCTGGCATCACGCGGACAGTCTCGCAGCGGCAGCTGAGGGTGAAAGGTGGCCCTGAGGACGCCGCCCCCAACAACAGCGGCACCCTGCGGCGAACCAGCAGCGCCCGGGGCCCCAAAAAGGGTCTGGAGTCTGCTGAGGGTCCCAGTGCCAAGACAGAGACCCCTCTGAAGGGCAGAGGATCTGGGGAAAGGGCCTCGATCCGACTGAAAGGCCCAAATCAGACCACACTGGGGAACGTGTTTCATCCCTTACGGAAGTGATGGGTGCCTGTGCTTTGTCACCTGCTGGGGTTCAAATGGAGAGGACAGACTTCTGTGAAAGGCCAACACCGAATGTCTTTGTTCCACATAAAGCGATCCACTGGTGCCGCCTGCCAACGCTCGTGTCACTGAATGCACAGTCCGGGATGCCTGTGGACTGCCGCCTGCTGTGCTGACTCCTGCTGTAAAATCCCGAGTCAGGACGTGGGTTCACCAGTGATGGGCCAGCACCTCCTGCACGCCGCACCCCAGAGGTGTGTGCCCTCGAACCCTCTCCCCCAAATCAAAGACCCTGTGAAGACCCCGACGTGTAAGATGTCATTCTTATATAACAAGTCAAAAAAGAATTTTGGCCAGTTTTATATATCAAAGACATTTTTTATGATAAATATTAAATGTTGTTTAGTTGGTTCTTTTTGGAGAGTGAAATGCCTCCCAGGGGAAAAAAGAAGAAAAACCCCTTAATATGAAGATACTTTTATCTTCCTGTGTTCTCTGGCCTCAGGGGTCCACCTGCCCACACTGTCCATTGCAGGCAACTGGACTTCTCTGTCAGCCCTTGGTGTTCTGTGGTTGGCACCATCTCCTTGAAGATTTTCTGCCTATGGTTGGCACCATCTCCTTGAAGACTTTTGGCCTTGCTCGTCTCTCCCTGCGTAACTTTGGGTGTGGGTTTGCGTGTGAGCAGGAGGGAAAATGAGGCTGGTGGACAGAAATCAGATGCTCCCATGTATTCAGGGCAGGCACCATGGGCATGGGGTGTGTGCCTCTGGGGCCTGCATGGCTGCAGGGCAAGCCTCCTCTGCAGATGGATGGCAGCCCCTGGGAGAGTACTGGATCTTCCAGAATTTAGAAGTGCCATATTATAATGGAAAGGCGTCAGGGGCTGTTCAGCTGAGCGCATATTTCCCGTTCTGTGTGTTCTCATTCGTGTACCTGTTGTAAAACTGAGTGAAGGCTGCTATGACTTGAGTTCGCTCTAGTTACAGGGAAGAATAAACCCTTCCGTCTCCCATCTTTCTTCCTTATCTTTTTGCTCCCAGCCCTTCCGTCTTTGCAATTGTGACCTGGAGCCTGGAGAGTCTCTCACACTCTGTCTCTCTCTCTCTCTCTCTCTCTCTCTCTCTCTGTCTCTCTCTTTCTCTCTGTGATGATACTTTTTAATGTTGATGTCTGTTCTTTGATGCAGTGGTTTTTAAATCCTGAGAAAAACCAAATCAAGTCTTTAAAAACAGACCAAAAAAATGAACTTGCTTTCAGAAGAACTTATATCATCAGGCAAAATTAAAAAAAAAAAAAATCAGGCTTCATTCAAAAGAAAGGGGAAAACATCCTTTTTCTACACAGTATCCATTCACTGCTTTCCTCTGAGATTAATTGAGAAATGGGGGAATTCTTGAAACTTTATTGTTTTTTAAAAATTGCCCTCCACTTTTTTTCACTTTTGGTCACTTATTAGTGAAACCTCGTTTTGGATCCAACGGTGATCGGTGGATTTAGGCAAATACAATGTATTTGTGATGAATCCATGTGGTTAATGTTACAGTCTCCCTCCTGTAAAATGTTGCTTTCCATCCAAATTAATTGGAAACTCTGAGCTTCCATAAGTCAGCCAAATTGAAAAGGTAAACTTTATGGTTGAAGAAGTGAGGCAGCGGACCACAAAACCTCTTGTAAAAATAGCTCTGAGTAGATGTTTCCAGGGCTCCACAAAGCTGGATATGGGAATGCTGAGCTGTTTTTCACCATCTAAAAAAGCCTAAGAAATCATATTTAATCATGCATCCAACAACATTCAAAACATAGGGCCCATGGGAGATGGATGAAAGAGGTCAAAAGTTTTTGGATTTGTGGATAGTGATGGAGTCGGGACCCCTACGCAGGACCTGGGAACCAGGATCTGAGTCCCTGCTCTATCACCAATGCCATGTGACTTTGACAAGTCACTCCCTCCCCCTAAACTTCTGTTTCTCAGTCTGCAGAAGTGGGGACATGGCCTCAATGATGGTCTCCAAGGGTCCTTCTAGCTCCAAGAGTCCAAATCATCATAAACAACCAATGACCCATTTGCCTGGGGTCAGCTTCTCTGAACCAACCCTCAGCGTCCCTATAGCAGAGGCCTCATGTAAAGGCCTGCTCAGAAGAAGGCACCTTCAGAATGGGTTGCTGCTTTGAAATCCTGAGAAGTGGTGTGTTACTTAGCCCTGTGGAAAACATCTGTGTATACATCTGTGCGAGCAGGTGATCATTCTATTACCTTTTATTGGTAGTAAGCTTGGAGAAATAATTTAAGTATATAATGGAGAAATGTACATACGTTTCTATATAAATTTGTTTAAGATGAACTGAATGTATTTAAAGGTCCATTTATATGTTCTTTTACCTAACATGTAGTTTAATAAAGTTCCTGTTTATGGGAGTTGTGTCGTATCCTCGGCTGTTTCTATGGGTGTGTGTGTGTGATCCTGGTGGGAGGGTGTGTGATTTCCCGCTCAGAGAGAATGGGGGGGTACAGGAGGTGCGGGAGGGTTGAGAGACAGCCGTCTTACCCTCAAAAGGCTCAAGAGCCGAAATCAGGCTGTGGGTGTGTGTCTTCTGGGTAGCACAGAACCTGCATTTAACTGAGGGCCTGGGGAGTGGGCCTTGCGCCAGACCTGTGGGAATGCAGGCGTGCATCTGATACGCAGGCCATCGATGGAATGTTCAGCATCTCGTACACGCTCACATTATTCCATGTTTGGGGCCAAGCTTTGTGTAATCTCCACGGGGCCGGCAAGTCTGGATCTGCTCCTGTGTGTCCTCATGTGTTTTGGCTCAGGAGACTGTTGGGAAATCTCAGCTCACCTCTGCGGCTGGCTCAGGAATGAGCAGAGAAGGGGGGTGTGTGGTTTTATTTGAAATGAAGTGTTGGTGCTTATTTGAAAAGAAAGGGGGATTGTGCGTAAGCAGCGCCTCATAGCTGGGGGTTTCATATCTAGTTTTAGCCCCAGCTACTCTCCCGCTTTATTTGAAAGTGGGTTAGAGGAAGATCCCTGCATCAGGCGCCAGTGGAGGAAGAGTCGATGACGTCATTTAGAACCTGGTTTTGCCTGTTATAAGCAGTTTGGGACGCCAGACCCCTCCCTGTATCTTCAACCCTGCAGTACCAGGGCTTAGGGACATAACCAAAAAGCTTTTTATTTTCACAGTGAGTCTCAAGTATTTATCTTTTCACCCTTTTATTTTATGGCTTTCACAAGGAACCTGTCTTCCAGTCCTCCTCTCAAAGATGTATGTTGAATTTAAAGGGCCACAGTTTCCTAATTGTTCATTCAAGATTCTGCGTATTTACATGTTATGGTGAGAGGTTCCAGAATTGTTCGGTAGAACTCTTAATTCAGCCATCTGAGGCGTGCAAATTCACGAACTTCTGCCCCTAAGGGTGCAATATCCTTCCTCTACCTCCTCCCATCTGGCAATGATGAGAATTTGCAATTTCACAGAATTTTCTATTGAAACTTAAACTTTATCCTTAATTCTTTATTATACTTTTGCTTCATGCTCCAGTCCTGCCAAAAAAAAGAAGAGGGTTTTTTTTGTTGTTGTTGGTATGTGTCCTCAAACACATATAAGCATCAAACATATAAACCGAATGTGAATAAGGGGCATTGCATCTGGTCAGTCAGTATTTCTTAAAATTATCTGGGCCGTGAGCACAAATGAAATGGGGGACAGCAGGTCTGCAGAGTCACCCTACCGGCATCTATGGAGTAATAGTGTGTAGCTTGGACTGAATCTGTGGCAGGGTTGAAAACATAACCCAGAGCAACCTCTCCCTGGGGGTTTTTTTAATCCTCAAATATCTTCCAGTAAAATGTCCTATGGCTCACTGATCACCTCCGTGAAAACAAAAGCAACATTCTCGCAGTCGAAGAAAATGGCTTTTCTGTCTTCTAGGCCAGAGCTCAGCAAAGAGGCTTTTGGCTTCCTGGTTGGTACACAGGACAGTTGGGCCCACTGCAGGAGGGGCCACAGCCCCAACCAGCATTCACATTCTACTCATTCATGGACCCTTCACCCAGGGCCCACCAGGAGGCTGGCACGACCTGACCATCAGCCTGTGGAGCAAAGGTGGCTGAGCCTTTCAGTGAGGACGCTGCTTGAGGTCCCCGTAGGCGCATTCATGCCAGGCCTTGGGAATCAGGGCTGGGCTTTGCCCCCAGCCTCCTCAGAAACATTCAAGGGCTGAGTCTGATAGGCAGTCCCTAACTTGCAAGCCTATGATGTTCCCCAATGATGTTCGCAATTAGATTTGAGGAGTTCCGAATGCACTTTCCCAGAGCAACCATGTCCTGTATTATGGGTGGGTTTCCAGGACAGCCCACTGGGAACCTATTGAACCCATCCGTGGGTGGTCTGTGGCACCGAAGTTTCAATAGAAGAGAACCTCACTTGTAGCAGTGTTCCTAGGGGAAAATGCCAGGGAGCCAGGAAAATTCCTCCCCTGGTTCGTGGCATCAAGGAGAGATTGAGGCACTGCAACTTGAGGGCACCAGTAATTTCGCTCTCCACTGCTGGATAAGAGAAAGCCTTTCTGCTCTTGAGGTCAGACAAAGGAGCTCGCATATCCCAGGCCAACTCCAGTAAATATGGGCCATTTCTCTATTGGAGACTACCTTTTGTCTGTTCTTCCTAATAGCCCAGCAGAAAGGTGTACACCCTCTGCTTTCAATTTTCCAGGAGGAAGGCTGGATTCAGCCACACTCTCTTAGCCTCCTGATAACCAATGAGAAGATGGTGGGGGTTGTGGGGAGGTGACCTTTGCGGCCAGGGCCATGGCCTCATGAGCCAAGGATAGCTGGTAGCCGGGCAAGTGGCCCCCTTCAGTGAGAGCTGAATGTCTGCTGCAGGTGGCAAGCACTCTGTGGTGCCTCCTGACTTCTGACAGTATTGGAGCACCCTGAGACACCCACTTTCCTGCAGAGTGGAGTGCTCCAACGTGCGACAGAATCCCCCAGGGCTGGTGGGTGATTCCTGGTCCCACCCCAGACCTAAAACAAGTCAGAATCTTTCTAGTGGGGTCCCCAAATTTGCATTTTAAACAACTCCCCAGTGATTCATTTTTC